ACACAAGACAAATCACGGGGCTTGCAGGTTCAGAACCTTTTGGCGTTAACGGCATACACCAAAACAGAAAAGCCACACAGCTCCTCATGGTGTTATCAATTACTAGGCTGCATTACTGCCGCCTCTGATAAATGGAGACAAATGCTCTCGTCAGGACAGGGTAAGGGTTTTGGTACTGTTAGCAAGCATCTTGTCACACCCCTGCTTCAGTCGGTTTCAGGAGCTACAAAGTCACTGAACAATCTCCTCCCTCAAAACTCTAGACCAAAACTACAGCACTTATTCCTGACAGTTTCCAGAAGCTGTAATTTTTTAAAAACATCAAACCACGATTCTTTCAGGTGGGTAGCCATCAGGGGTTCCCAGAGTGGGAACTAAGGCAAGAAGCCAGCTGGGGCGGGCTGGGTGGAAAAACAAGAGACAAGAAACCCCAAGGCACGCCACAAAGCCTCGGGCGCGCTTGAGTGTCTGGGGAGGGCTCGGCGCAAACTTCCCTCCACGCAAGCAAGGAGAAGGGGGAGGGCCCTGAAACGCCACGTGAACTTGGAGGTGAGGTGAGGTGAAGGGAAAGGGGGGGGAGTTTACTTGTTACTCCTGGAATGCCGTCCCAGCGCGTTCCGGCTCAAAATGACCCCTGGTAGCCATGTTAGTTCGAGTCCAGCAGCACCTTAAAGACCAACAAGATTTCTGGGGTATAAACTTATAACCTGGAAATCTTACTGGTTTCTAAGGTTGCTACAGGACTTGAATCTTGCTCTTCAAACCGTATTTGATTTGCCAGGTAGGTTGCACCGTTTCTCCTCCAGGAAAAATTAAAAAAAAATCAGCCACACACAGCCTTGCCATTAAATTCCTCACTGCCACCTCTCCAGAGTGAGTAAAGATTGCTTTCAGGAGAGAGGCGTGTTGGTGCAGTCCATCCCCAGCTGAGCACATGCGCTGAAAATTAGATGCTTATCACATACACAGCCAGCCAGGCTTTTGGCTGAGTGGAAAGGAGGGTACTGGGGAACGCCAAGCTGCTGCTGAAAGCAGCCATCCCCCTCCTCTCAGGAAGTACCGCTCCCAGGAACATCCTCTCCCACCCACAGAAGCCTCTAGAGCTCAGCTCCCCTCACCCTGCTGCCAGTGTGATGCTGGGGTGGAAGGGAGAAGGAAAGAAACCTGGATGTCTTTGCTTCCATATCCTACAGCACCACTGAAAAGACTGAGGAGATGTCGAAATCTGCCCTGCCCTTATCTTTTCCTTTCCTGACCTCTGGAAGCCAATACTGCCTCAGGGCATGCATGCATCCACTAGGTGACTGGAGCAGCCTGGATTTAACCCTCCCTTTACCGATCTACCATTTCATTTAATTGGAAGAAAATGCATTTAAGGAATGGAACGGGAAGGATGCACGCATTGGGATAATATGTTGTTTGGGATAATATGAAAAAGGATGTGCAATTGAAGAAGTGCAGGTCCATGGGCTAGATGTATGTGTGCCTTTAAAAAAGAAGAAATCTCTGCTTAGTAAACCTGCTTAGGAGGTTTCTTTGTATTTATTTTGCAAGGCTGCTATACAAATGCTACTAAGATCGCAACCCAAGCATGCGTTTGGGAGTAAGTTCTACCGTAATATGGGGAACTAGTGTGGCACAGGAGGGCCAGTATGAATGTTGGATTAGGATCTGGGAGACCCAGGTTCGAATCCCCACTTCTGCTGTGGAAGCTTGCTGGGTGACCTTAGGCCAGTCACATTTTCTTAGCCTAACCTACATCACAGGGCTGTTATGAGGATAAAATGGAGACAAGGAGAATTACGTGAGCCCCCTTGAGTCCCCATTGGGCAGAAAGTTGGGAGATAAGTGATAAAATGGAGACAAGGAGAATTACGTGAGCCCCCTTGAGTCCCCATTGGGCAGAAAGGTGGGAGATAAGTGAAGTAGATAAATAAATGCATACGCACTTCCAAATGAGCTTACGATCAGGCCAATATTCAGGTTATTCAAAGGACTATTGTACACGAAATGCACCCAAAACTGTACACAAGCCATTCTTTCATTTTATTTGGTTATTTGGAAAACTGGAAATATTATCAGCTCCTTATTCCTCACCAGTGTTGACAAATTACACAGTTTTTGGTGTGCAAGTTTGAGAATAAAAACTGTGTTAAGCACAAGCCTAACTTGGCTACAATATTCCCCATTCTGAACATTTCTGTTTTTTTGAGTTTCAAATTAGCAAATGAACACAAACATACAGATGGTTCTAAGGACACCCGGAGCTCACAAATATGCAAACTACATTACGAAAGGGTCTTTGTGAACGCAGATTTTAAAAGGCCACTCACAAACATGCAACACGGAAACAGAACATTACAGAAGGGTAACTAGGAACGAAAATATTCTAGTAAGTGATATGGATGCGATATGTTGCATAACGGTTAGAGTGCTGCATTGAGAACTGGGAGACCCAAGTTCGAATCCCCATTCTGTAATGGAAGCTCACAGGGTGACCTTGGGCCAGTCACATATTCTTAGCTTAGCTTACCTCACAAGATTGCTGTGAGGATAAAATGGAAGAGAGGAGAACGACATAAAAGTACTTTGGGTCTCCACTGAGAAGAAATGCAGAATATTTATTTATTTATTATTTACATTTCTATCCCGCCCTCCCTGGAGGCTCAGGGCGGCTAACAGGGCATATGAATAAATGAAATAAATAAAATGTTATTTTGAGCAGAACACACTTCTAACACAAGCACAGTCATGGTAGATCATACTGAACTGAAACAATTTCTAAAACAAAAACTATGTCGTGTCTAAAAGTGAAACTGATTAAATTATAAGCAAAACAGATATTATACATAAAGCCAGGGGTCATTTCGTAGAAAAAGAGCTAGGGGAACTCATTAGCATAACTCATTAGCATATGCCACACCCCCTAACATCAGGGGCCCGGCGGTGGACCTGCAAGGCCAGCGGGAGTGCAAGGAAGCCCCGCCAAGGCCCTCCCTGGCCCCAGGCAGGCAGGGGTGGGGAGAGGCGGGGAGGAAGCAACTTACCCTCCCTCTTCTCCTGCCTCCTCCTGGCTGAATGAGGGCCGGAAGCGGGGCGGCCAGAAGCAGGGGGCGGGGCTTCGTCATATGCCCCGCCCCCTGCACCTCACCCGGGGGAACTGTGTTCCCCCGTGTTCCCCCCCGAAATGACCTCTGCATAAAGCACATTAAACTGCTACGTACTCTATGGAAACCATAACGTAGTGTTTTAACAACTTCCTATGCAAAATATGTCCAGTGCAAATCTGTGCAGTTACTCTAGTCTAAGTCCGTTGAGGTTAATGGATTAGATCCCCTTTAAAATTGGAAGAGTTTCCACCCGCGGAGGCGTAACATCCCTGCCTCTCCTGTCCCGCTGCAGCCCAAAATGCCCCAAGAGATGTGGCTCCTGGGGGATGGGGAACCCCAAGGAATAGTTTGGGGGAGCGGATTTAAAAGCTTTTCATGGGGGGAATCAGCACCTGGAAATGGCAGGTATGTTACAAAATGATGAGCTTAGACCGGGGTAACTACGCCACTGGTCCTCACACTGTGGTTTGCGGAGAGCCACATTTACAATTACCATCAACCAAAAGAGCCACATGACTACCGCCATGTCCACATGCCGTACCACCAAACGAACATAAGATATAACTTAATACTGAACACAGAACTGTAATATTTTTAATTACCAGATTACTTTTCAGCGTGCATGGCTGTCTCTCCCCACCACTGTCAAACCTTAGCAGGTCCTTGTGTCTCTGGAGTTAGGGGGGAGGGCTTCCTCATCTGCCTCCCCACTCTCTTCCCAGCATGAGGTGCAGCATCTCAGGCAAGAGAGTAAGACCACCAAGACTCCTAGAGGACAGCAAGCCAGCCATGGAGAAAGAAAACTAAGACCACCATCACCCCACCGTGGCCAGCTTGCTGTTTTCCTGGGTGGCTGCTCTGATGGTCTAACTCACTTCTCTGTGTGTTCACCTCCTGGGTGATGAGATAAGAGCAGAAAGATTGCAGAGAAGAGTGGGGGATGCTGGAGAGGATGGGCCCTTTACTCCCACGCACCTGAGGGCGGCTCCCAGCTCACCTGTACTCCAAGTCCCTGCAGTGGTGGCTGTTTCAGAGTGAAAACCGAGACCTCTCCAACCACAAGCCCTACCATACGTAAAGTGGTTCCCGAGCCACTGATCATTACTCACCTAGGCATATGATTGCATGATTGGACAGGTTCGTTTCTAGGCATTTAAAATTGCCTTTATGAAGCTGTTTTATATTAAGTAAGACCTAATTTACAATAAGTTATACAGATATGCAGGATATTTCCATTTCAACGTCTGGTGTAAAGTACTAAAAGACAGGCAATTTCCAAAATGCCTAGGTAACTCAGATTCAGGTTTCTGGCACTATCATCACCCCAACTCAAAGAAAGTGCCTATCACAGGGAAATAAATATCAAGAGTCTAAAGCTACTTCCACTGTAATAGAAACAGTCTCTAGCTCAGCTATCACTCCTGAAAGCATGCGGGAGGTGTTAGAATTCCTTCCCATCAAAACAGAAGTGCCAACAGCCCATAGATTTGGAAGAATGCCAGGAGTACTAGTAGGAATAAATCAGAGTCTTTCAAGAACCCGTCAGCAATGAAGAGCTTCCCATTTCTCAAAATACTATAAAGTTAAAAAAAATAGGTCTAATTTAGTGTGATTGAAAGAAAAATCCAAGCTTCCAACTGGGACCTGAATTCACAGGTAATGAACACTCCAGAGTTATAAGATATCCAAGAGCTGACATAGATTTATGTAAATGCATATGGTGCTTGAGCTAGTCAGGGCTGTCCGAAACGGTATTGTTCACTGGTTCTATGATAGCATTTTTATCACCTTCAAGCACTGAACACCATTCAACCGCCATGGAAACAAGTCACCCAGACCCACTCCTATCATCTTGCGCTTGAAACCCGATGCCAATTCGGGGATACTGACCTGAAAGTATGAGGGTAACATTCAGCACAATGACTATTCCACAGAACAGCCCAACTCTGAAGGTAGTCCATGCTGGTGCAGGCTGCAAAGAAACAGAAAATGGCTTTCAAATCAAACTATCTCTTTGAAAGTTACTAGTCAAGCTGCTGTAAGGCCAAACACCTTTAAAAATAACTTGTTCTCTCAAGCAGAAGCTTAGTGGACATTCAAGATCATCATGCAAGCTCGACACAAGATTCTTTAACCTTCAGCTAATTTCTTAAGACAGGGGGCAGTTTTTCAGGTAGGCGAATGCTCGTGAGCGGGGGTGGCCAAACTTGCTTAATGGAAGAGCCAGACAGAATAAATGTCAGATGTTTGGGAGCCACAAGCCATGTTCCCTCTAAGCTGTGGAGTCTTATGAGCAAAAATCCTACTTTGTGAGCCACTGGCATTGAAGTTGTGAGCGAGTGATTTGGCTACTGCATCAATTAAGTTTGCTCTGGAGCCATCCTTCCTGAGCTAAGACAAAAAGGTGTGAGCCGGGGGCTAAAAAACTGTGAGCTAGCTCACACTAACTCAGCTTAGAGGGAACACTGGCCGCAAGACATGAACAAAAATTACATGTTTTTACTGGGAAATAGGCAGATTTGCTTTTTATTAACATTAAATGAGACTGCCGAAAATAATAACAAAAGCGGTAAAAGCAGATATTGATAATGATATTGATTTGTCCAATGATATTTGTTTGCTGATGATATTTAGCTTCCCCAGCTGCCCTGCCGGGAGCCGCACAATATGTGTGAAAGAGCCACATGCGGCTCCCCAGCCACAGCTTGCCCCCCCCCCGCTCAAGAGCAAGCAACACACGTTTATTTGTTCAATGTTGACTCCTCCTGTCTCCAAACATACTAGAGCCCACTGTATGTCTGTGTGAGCCAAAGAAGAGGCAAGCCAACTTTGATCCCCTTCCCTGCAGTACAAACTACAATAACTCCTTCTGCAGCTCACGTGTTCATTGGGATTATTTGCAAGGGCCAAACGACATCCAATGCAGAGGATTTGTAATTAGACTTCGTAACATATTTATCATCACTTAAAACCAGCCGCAGGGGACACTAAACAGGATTAGAGCAGGGAAGCAGGGATTGAACCCTTTCCCCCAGGCAGTTTTCCCTAATCTAAATCAATCCCTGCCAAGCTGCTGTTGGGTCCGCGGGGGGGGGGATACAGGTACCTTCTGCTACATGAAGATGCTGAAACAACTAATTGTGTTGGTAATATTGAGGTGTGTGTGTGTGATGAGTGGGATTCAAGAGCCTTTTGCTGATGCCTTGGAATGAGGGACTGGAATGCCTCATAATAGAACCACGCTGTTGCTGTTCATTCTCGAGGGGTCCTTACAGAGCTCTTAGTACCTTGTTTCCATGCAAGCCCACAGGCAGCAGCTCAGTATTAAAGGAGGTCATCGGAACAGCAGACTGTACATCTAGGGGCAAGTGCTAACTTTGCATTCAATGTGATTCTGGATTCCAACTCAACACATTCTTTTTGCTCTGCCAAGACACATTAATATTTGCACTCCCAAGTCCTCTAAAGACAAAATGAGATTTTTAAACGTGAACTGAGTCAAGATGTCAGACTTTTGCCGGCCAAACTGCAAGCGTTAATTTTGCACTTTTGTCATAACTAATGTCTAGAACTGTCAAGCCATTCTATTGATCTGTGAGAAGGGGGAGGGGGGACGCTGGATCTCTTCAAGCTCCCATTCCCATCACCTGAGCTGCTCCCAGTGGCGGGACACGTAACCGCTTCATGGCTTTCTGTCGGTCTCCATCTTCCAACTCATTAGTCACCACGGTCTAAAGATACAAAAGATAAAACAAAATCATAATTAAAAGCCAGACCTATCCAATAAAAGTCAGAATGAGGACACACCTACCAGAGGGAAGCTTGGGGTTAAGCTAGACAATATCACACCCCTGAGTCTGCCGTGGGTATGTGGTGTCATTTTAGAGCATATTTTTTAACTTTTCAAAATGCAATGGGGGCCTGGTCCTGCTAGGAACCACGGCACAATAAGGGCTCCCCCCTCAGCACACACACAAACACTGTTTTCAAAAGCCAAAACAGTGTCATTTTCAACTCCTGAAAACAGCATGGGGGGAGATGAGATAGGAGCCCCCTCATCCCTGTGGTTCTCGGCAGGATCAGGCCCCCATGGCATTTTGAAAAGTTTAAAAATATGCTCTAAAATGGCACTGGATCCCTGTGGTAGCCTTGGAGACATTGTACTATCCAGTTTGGCTCTTAGTTGCTAGTATCTCCAAACCAAAAGGGAAAAGGGCGAAAAAGAGGAGAGATCTCTATGAGAAACCACAAAAAGTACTGAGTACCAGAGGTCACACCACCAATGGTTATACTTTAATTGTTACACTTTACTGGAAGTTGTTTGTTATACTGTACTGGAATTGTTTGCAATTTATTTGTTTTTCAGACATTCAGAAATTATTACACTTTACTGGGATTGTTTGCACAGTATAGAATAACAATTCGTTTTTACACAGTTAATGATAATTGGATTTCCCACCCTTTCTTTTTGTGTGACCTCTGGCAATCAGTATCTTTTGCAGTTCCTTAGTTGCTAATACTGATCCCCAAAAGTTCAAAATAGTAGAAAGTGCACTCATACTCTGAGACATGCAAAATCAGATTGTGGGAGGTGTGGTGCCAGGAGTTCAATGGCATATTAAAGCACATGCACTGAAAGTACCTTGCACACAAACTGGTTATTAGCATTGCTGTACAAAACAAAGACAATGAGCCAGTGTTTGCCAGTCTGTCTAAGTAAGGCCAATACACGAAGGTCAACATATTCTACCTCTGTTTCAGAGATAAGCTGATTGATTTTCTTGCATGTATAGAATGGGGCCACTTCAACATGCGCCACTCTCCAGTCGGCACCTCGGGGTGTCTCCAGTATCTTGTCATGTTTTTTCAGGATCTTACGGAAACCCGTGAAATTCAGATTCTAAGGAGGAAAAAAACTCACTCAGTATATTATTTTCTTTTAAGATTTTATTCTTTTTATTTCATTTGATGCAATGTGATAGGAATGGAAAAGTCAATTAAAATTTCAGATTGGGGCAGGGAAGGAGGGGAGAGATAAAGCTTTGCAATATGTTCCATAAACAGGAAACAAAACAAAAAAATCATTTGAAAAGCACAGATTAATATACTGAAGCGGAGGGCAAAGACCCATAGATAACTTATTTTGCTTTATTACAGGATGTAGGTTATTTAGTGCACACAGCCAAAGTAATCCTCCTTCATGTATCAGAAATGCTGTCAAGCCCAACCTCATATTCCCAAGAGAGGCAGCAGGCTAGACAAAGACTGCAGAAGAGTGACCAACTCAGACTGAAATGATGTATTTTCTTACCATACTAATAAAACCAGATTCTCAGAAAAGTAATAGTCATTCTTCTTCTCTAATAAATTTACTAACATACAATTAGTCTTGGGGTAGTGGTGGAATTCTTCTCTGGATCATTATCTTAAATAAACAAACAGCTCTAGCCAGTCCTGCATCCTACAGAGGTCAGGTTAGTATTGCAATACTACCAACCCAGCTGGGGGTGGAGCTCAGGGGGCAGAACCCACAGAAAGTGCTCTTTCGAACCCAATGCAGATTGCAATGCAAAATGCAAGAAGAGGTAACTGAAGAAAGTGAATATCAAAAGAAACTTCCTAACTGTAAGAGTGGTTGAGCAGTGGAACAGTCTGCCTTGGGAGGTGGTGGATGCTCCTTCGCTGGACGTTTCAAGCGGAGGCTGGACGACCATCTTTCGGGTATGTTGTAGGTATGTAGGGCTATCTTTCAGCTATGCTCCTGCAGAGTGCAGGGGGTTGGACTAGATGACCTGCAAAGTACCTTCCAACTCTAACATTCTATGAAGGGAGCCAAATCTCACATATGCACCCCTCTCACATGAATGAAATGCAAGAAACAGACGTGTACTCTGCTACATACATACAACATACTTAGAACCCCTCCTCTATCATGCAGAGATGACAACAGATAGACTGAAAACACACAACGTAAATGTCCTGGCCCGTGGGGTGCCCCAGACATACGCAACAAAACCAGCAGCATACTGTCAGGAATGTGATAGACAAAATCTATTCATGCCATCTTCTTCTAAAAATATATTCCACACAGGGGAAAATCTTATCCTTGGTTTGTAATGTCCTATGGCTAAATACAAACAAATGTCTATTCTATTCTATTCTATTCTATTCTATTCTATTCTATTCTATTCTACTCTACTCTACTCTACTCTACTCATGGGGGAAATGGCATATTGTGTTCCGTAATCTGGGCTTTTCTTGTACTATTGTATGTGTTTCTACACTTAGTGATGTAGAGGCTATACACCCTTAATCTTATTGGTCTTTTTTGCTTTGCATCTAAGCATGCCTGTTAGTTTACTTTGCTTGCCAACCTCATCAGGCAGTCCTTTGGGTTGCTATTTTCTTTGTTCCTCTGGCCCACTTAGTCTGCTCTCACCTATTTTGTAAGGATACCTCCTCACACAAAAACACAAAAAGTGTTTTAGTAAAGAAGCTGGCTATACCAAGATTGAACCTAATTTAATTTAGAAAGAATTGCATTCAAAAAAGTAGGCTGTCCTCAGATCGGGAACAGTTTCAGCAGCCCGACAGAATTCTGAGAGTAAACTACAATTATATGAGAACCGAGCAGTTTGATTCATTCAAAAGGGTTAGGGGTAGATATTAAATGGACCCATGGACACAGAAGGGGTCCCAACTGAATTACTGAAAAGGAACAGTTCATTAATAGTATGGGGCAACATTTTTGTTAGATTAGAGGACTCTTATTTGTGATGATATAAGAATATTTTTATTCTAAGCGAACTCTTAGGAACTGGAAGCACACCGCTCACAGTGTACGCAGTAGGGTTGCCAGGTCCCCTCGGCTTGCCGGTGGGGGGATTTGGGGGGGCATTCCAGGGGTGGGCGGGGACATCACCATGCGACGTCCCTGTTTGGGGGTGGGGCTTCCCCTGCTGGCCAGCTGGCTGGAAGTGGGCAGAAGCCCAAAAAATCAGGGGAATCTCTGCCCAGACCGGGGTTCTAGCAACCCTAGTACTCAGCCATAACTGGACACAGTCCTCCTTTCTTGCCTGCCTGCACAAACTCTGCTTGGGTTCAGGAAGAGTTGAACTTTTCCTAGGACATGGGCTGGCAGGGAAGAGAAGCCATGACAGGATGATTCATATATGTAATGTGCAAATAAGCCATTCTAGGGAAATGCCAGTAAACTGCCATTTGTACTCTGGGTATGTTCTGTGTAACCTGCCTACTGTATG